TTGAACAGTTGTCTACCCATTTGGTTGTACGGTGTGATCCAAGGTGATCAAATATGAGAAGCATCAGTCTATAAATGAGCCGTGTCACGACAAAACCAACATAATGGGTTTGCGACCAGCATGGATCCAGACCAGCCTGCGCATCCGCTAGCAGGATCCATGCTGTTCGCTATCAGTTTCTCTACTTGTTATAGGGTTTGTAAGCGAACAGCATGGATCCTGATCAGACTGCGCGGATGCGCAGGCTGGTCTGGATCCATGCTGGTCGCAAACCCATTATGTTTGTTTTGTCATGACACGGCTCAAATATAGGTTGTATAAGGTTGTATATAGGTTGTATAATTGTATATAAATCTATTTTGATCAGTCCTGATCAGACTGCGCGGATGTGCAGGCTGGTCTGGATCCGTGCTGGTCGCAAACCCATTATGTTTGTTTTGTCATGACACGGCTCAAATATAGAATGTATAAGGTTGTATATAGGTTGTATAATTGTGTATAAATCTATTTTGGTACCCCTGATTTGACCCACTGACCCCTAATTCCGCCCATAAGAAGAAGACTATGCAAGATATCTTCCTACTAAATATAAAAGTCACCTGTCCATTTATAGAGGCTGCAAAAGGATAATAAAAAACAAAACAAAAAAACAGATGAATCAGTGTTACCTGCTTTTCTTTTATATCTATGAATTTACTTATTTTATGTGGATTTTTACTTGATATATTGGAAAAAACTATCTTTAACTCTCAGCATCAAATTACTTTTTGATTGCTTAGTGTCTTGTGCGTACGTTAGATTGAAATATCGTACCCGTTCTGTGCATTCTTACTATTGTGTTCGAGGTCCTTTTCCGAAGACTGACGGAAAGGGTCGAAAAGTTTCGATTGTTGTAATGAACTGTTTTGGACTCCAAATAAATAAAACTTAGCAAACGTTTTATGGTACAATGTATGTGACATACTGGTTTCGCAATAATCACGCACATTTCTGACATTAGACCTATGAGGAAGTTAAGTAGAATATCACAAGCACCTGTTACATATCAGAAAATATAACATTTTCCTGGAAATATTGTAATCAAACTTTAATGTTTTAATAGACATATCCGCTTATTAATTTCTTCCGATATTTTTATTGTAATGTATATTTTTCTGTGTTTTTTTTTTTTTTTGTTCAAAAATTTGCAAAATTCGGCTTAACTTTTGCTGGTGTTACATAATATGCACTGTGAAATTATTAAAACATTTTGTTGCTTGTTTTTGTTGTTGTTTTGTTCTTTTTTGTTGCATTTGTTCATATGGGCCGGTAGTGGCAGGGGAAACAAACAATTTTCTAGTTAAGGCCTAACGTACAATACTTACAAATCGGATATAGCACTAAATTTAAAAGCATGCAAACGTACAATGATTTATAACGTGATATACATGTATTTACATTTACATCCGTGTACACTCACATTGTCAATCGCAACTTTTCGGCCCTTTCCGTCAGTCTTCGGATAAGGACCTCAAACACAATAGTATAAATACACAGAACGGATGCGGTATTTCGGTCTAACCTACGCTAAGAAACTAACAAATAGATATTCAATGCTGGGGGTTGTTACAAAGTTTTTTCCAATAGATGTAGTAAAAGTCCACCTAAAATAAGTGACTTCATAGGTACAAAAGCAAACAATACATTATTTATATATTTATTATATTTGTTGTAGAAACCGAAGGTACAAAAAAAACCAAGTCGTATTTATTTAAAATTGAACATCAGTGGGCATATTTAAATTAGAATTGTTGTCAGACATATTTTCAATCATAAGAGTACCGAAACAGACATTAATTTTCTTTTGGATGTCAAATATATACATTCGTTTTACATTATCCCTGTTTCTGTTTACACCTCCAAGTGTGGGTAGAACTACTTTCAGTCCTTATTTTTACCGAGGGTATTAAAGATAATGCCGAGAATATTCCAATTGTCCAACACCAATCTATGGTGGCTGATTTGGAACATTTTTTGCGTCGTGTTGTCGCTAGCGACAGCACCACAAAGTGCCAAACGGTGCGTTTACGGACATTTATCTTGTCGTCCTGTCGCTTACGTGCTGTTTGGCGCGTTTCGCTAGCAGCATGACGAAAAGACCAAAAGGCGATAATGAAATAGGTTGTGTTGTCGCTATTGATAACGCAACGCGCAAAGTGTACCAAATCACACACCATACAAAGCTGTTGTGTGATTTATAAAATATTTGTAGGCCTTGTTACTCCATACATGAATATATATGTCTCTATTAAATGATGACCGAGATTTTTATTTCTGCGGCATGATTTATATATCTTGAGTACAGGGCCACAAGTTGGTGCAATGGGCCAAATATTTATTTATTATCTATTTTATGATGTGGGCAATTAACTTTATAAGGAAGGGAATCTTCAAACATGTTAAAGTCTGAATAAAGTAAGCGACCTACAGGATCGGACCGGCAAGTCAAATATCTATGGCCTATGTTTTCTCGCATATTAGTGTATAATAAATTAAGTGACCTAATGGCGGGCAAGTTTTGACCTCGGAGCATAATTTATCTAAGATATATATAGAGGTCCACAAGGCAATGCAACATGTTAATGTAAGCTCCAGGCACTGTAGTTCAATCATGAAGACTTGATTGTTATATCTTATATAGGTTCATTTAAATTAAGTAACCAGTAAAACAGGGTTATTTTTTACCCGGCGGCATAGATTATACATATATAATATTCCTTTTGTACAGGACTAAAAGGTAATGGTCTCTGCCAGATATCTTTTCTCTGAGCATTTTAGTTTCGGAAGAAAAATTTTTATGATAAATTCACCATAAAATCTATGTATGAAACGAAGAGAACCCTAGGGCGTGCTAATTTCAACCCTAAGAGCATTTTTTTTTCTGTTGAAGTCTACAGTCTGAGATATAATTTCACACATCAAAAATAACTTAAAAGCTTGCCATAAAAACTAATTGACCACCATCAGAAACCTATATCTATCCCTAGTGTATGATTTATATCATCATTTACTTAAAGCTGCATGCCTCTAGATGAGTCAAAGTATTTTAATAAAATCAAACTATAGAAATATGTACTACGATTTTAGGAAAAGTAAAATGATTCAAAATTCAAGTAATATTTTACATGTTATGTGCGGTTAATGACTGATTTCTCAGTATTTACAACTATATTTCTACTGCATTATTGACGCAGTAAGGGCTATTTATGCATGTTTTGACCACATTTTGGTAGTCTATGTGAGTTGTAAGTGCCATATATTTTTTTTTGGTTATTTCACAATATTATACATTCAAATACATTTTCAAAATTTTTATGAAAAAAAACTGTATAAGGAAAGTCAATGACCCTCAAGACGGGGCCAATTTTGACTTCAGGGCTTTTATTTGAACAAACTTGTAAAACACCCATTAGAAGATGTTTCATGCTTAATATCTAAGCTCTAACTATTTTTGTTTTTATTAAGAAGATTTTTTAAGTTTTTAGTATATTCATATAAGGAAAGTCAATGACCCTCAAGGCGGGACCAATTTTGACCTCAGTGTTTTTATTTGAACAAACTTTTTTTTAAGTTTTTATTATATACATATAAGAAAAATAAATGACCCCGTGGCCAATTTTGACCCACGGGATGTTATTTGAACAAACTTGGCAGACACTCACAAGAAGATGTTTCATACTTAATATCTTAGCTTTATCTATTGGATTTTTTAAAAGAAAAGTTTTTTTTTAATTTTACTGTATTCATATAAGGAAAATCAATGACCCCTGGGATGGGGCCAATTTGACCTGAGGGCTTTTATTTGAACTAACTTGGTAGACACTCACTAGAAGATGTTTCATGCTTGATAACTAAGATCTAGCTATTAAGATTGTTTAAAAGAATATTTTTTTAAGTTTTAACTGTATTCATATAAGGAAAATAAATCACCCCCGGGCGGGCCAATTTTGACACAGGGTTTTTATTTGAACAAACTTGGTAAGCACTCACTAGAAAATGTTTCATGTCAAATATCTAAGCTCTAGTTCTTTGGGTTTTAAAAGAAGATTTTTCAGTTTTTTTTCTTTCGGTTGCCATGGCAAACAGAGTTCTGCATGGAATTGAAATTTTTTAACAGTTTTTAAAGGTGACCCAAAAGGAACATTCCTTTGAGGTTTGGATGAAATTGACTGGGTAGTTTATGAGGAGATGTCGTTTAAAGTAAAAGTTTACGGACGGCCGAACGGACGCCGGACGGCCGAACGGACGCCGGACTAATTGTGATAAACTTGTCACGTTGTGACAGGTGAGCTAATAAAAAAGCCCTAAAATAACTTCAGTCAAAGTATAGTAACTTTATAGCTATTAGATTGTCCTTATTTGCACAAAGCAAGGTTATAACCTTTCTTCTCAGTAAAATTTTAATCTCTGTCCTCACTGGCGCTATCTGTTGGCACTGGAGCCGATAAGACAGTGTACACCGCCTCTGTTAAAGGTATGGCCAGAGTAATATTTGAATAATTTAATACTTAATACTTAACATATCGTTGTGCATATATAAACACTCACTAGAAAATGTTTCTTGTCAAATATCTAAGCGCTAGTTCTTTGGGTTTTAAAAGAAGATTTTTCAGTTTTTTTTCTTTCGGTTGCCATGGCAAACAGAGTTCTGAATGGAATTGAAATTTTTTAACAGTTTTTAACGGTGACCCAAAAGGAACATTCCTTTGAGGTTTGGATGAAATTGGCTGAGTGGTTTATGAGGAGTTGTCGTTTAAAGTAAAAGTTTACGGACGGACGACGACGTTGTGACATTTGAATAATTTAATACTTAATATTTAATATATCGTTGTGCATAAAGTTAACACGACATTGAAATTAAATAAACGACATAATTATTGATTTATCCCATCGAACAGGTTTCTATTAAATGAAAACACTAGAAAAAATAGACTTTTAAATAATAATTGTACAAAACTTACCTCTATCGCCATTTACACGAAACTTTTTTCTTTTTACGCATAGTTCGTTCCTCTGTTGAATTAAGTTACATATTGCAAAAAAGCATAACTATGTAAAAATGGATGTAAACTAGCACAAGGTATAAAGTCTCCGTGTGTATATCGGTTAAGCAGCTGTCGACCGAACAATATGCAAACTTAAAAGTGATGAAGCTTTTAATTATGTCAGTTAAAGCGGATTGGTTAATTTCGCGTAGCACTATGGTGGCTGATTTGGTACACTTGCGCGGTGCATCAAAAATGCACCAAAATCAGGTAGGCCAAAATCTGCATCTCGTAACGAAATCGTTTCCAAAATAAAGGAAATCATTGAAGGAGATGCCAGATTTACAGTTCGTGATATTGCACGAAAGGTAGGCATATAACTATCAACGGTTCACTTTATTTTGAAGATGCATTTTAAAGTCAGAAAGATTTCTGCTAAATGGGTGCCACATCTGTTGACCGATGAGCAAAAGAGGCAACGGGTTAAGGTGGCCAAAAAAGCTGCTTCAAATGTTTCCAAAATATGACAAAAAACAGTTTGCCAATGTCGTCACAGATGATGAAACTTTGGTCCATTATTTTTAGCCCGTCAGAAAAGTAAGCAACAAAATCTGGGCCACTCAACGCAACAAACGCCCAATAATTGCCAAACGGTCTTTGAGTGCAAAGAAGGTTTTGTATGCAATTTTCTTCTCTGGTGAAGGAGTCGCAATAAAAGTGCCGGTGAAAAAGGGCAAAAATATCACTGGGATGTACAACAAAGACGTAGTACTTAAGAAACTGAAAAAGTAAGAAACGACGCCCTGTCACTGGTTTTAAGCATATCCGTCTTCTACATGGAATACCCCCGCTCAAACGTCCGCAATAGTTTCGGTGTTTTTGAAAAAAGAAAAAGTAACTGTTTTGCCTCACCCCCATATTCTCCAGACCTTGCCCTATGTGATTTCTTTTTGTTTCCGAAATTGAAATCCTTCTTTGCTGGGCGGAAATACAAGTCCCGACATTCACTTGGATCTGCCATTCATCAGTACCTTATTACTGTGCCCAAATCAGCGCACCGTGACGCCTTCAAAAAGCGAATACATCGGGTGAAACACTGCTTTCTAGCCACGGGGAGTATTTCGAGGGCATGGAATGAACACTTTTGAGCTTTTTTTTTTAATTTCCAGTCCCAAGATAGAAATAAGCAATACATTTTGAACATCCCTCGTATGTAGCAATTTAAATTAACCAGTAATAATAGTTACATTTTTTCGTCTTCAAAAAAATCTCACGTCAATTGGTCGAAGGTCATACTTTATTGCTTATCAATAAAAAATTAGGTACACTCTTCGAAATGAAATGTGGAGAGGTTTTCGCCATGTGATAAGAATCAAATAAAGAAGGCATTGGAATAAGGTTAGTCAGTAGCATAGAATCGTATGTCACAACTAACAAAGTTGCTACAACTATAATTAGGTTATAAATAGCAAATCCACAAAACATAAATCATATTAATGAAAAGATGAGAAAACAAATTTCAACGCAAACAGCATTTTTCATAAAGATGATAATGTATTCAGATTGTAAGCTCAAATAAACCGTTTGAAAGTTCAATCATAAATTAAACATAGATTAAGGGTTAAAATCCTACCTATCTTTTGAAAAAGTGTAAGCAAATAAAAGTTGTTTTAAATGCCTATTTTCTTTTTGGTACTTTATATAAAAAAACAATCTATTCCTACTTAGAACTAACGTAAAACTGACTTACACATGACGCAAAATATTTAAACTAGGTTCACCAAGGCAGTGTATCTTTTTTTTTTTGTATTTACTATATTGGATGTTTCTGGCAAGTTGCTGAACTGGTTGACAGATATTTGAAGAATGATCTCTAAGTAAACGGCGACAAACAGAGGGTGGCATTGATTTTAAAAGATACGGCTGTTCCGTGTAAAGTGGTTGGTAGTGGCAAAATTCGTTTGTCAAGGATTTTCGATTACGTATTTTTACAATGACAAAATGTATTACCAATTTTATCTAATTGTCTTAATTAACAGAAAATGATGAAAATACTTGAAATTACCCAAAAATTGCGTTTTTCCATGTTTAAACATGGCCTATCATATAAATTTGAAGAAAATTTGTTGTTTTGTAGATTTTCTTATTTTTTTCAACCCATTACTTCATGAGCATTTTCTGAAAAATGGCTGTTTCCATTGAAAGGTCTCCTGTTACAAGTTCACATTGCTATAAAACTATAAAAACTGCTTCAATACTAATCAAACTTGACACAAATGTTGACTGGACCATTGCCTTTGCAACAACATGCTCAAAATTGCCAAAAAAACCCACTATTTTGCGTTGATTTTTTCCATCAAAATTGATTTCAAAGTGAAAGTGCTGCAACTTCGCAATGGATTGAGATAGAGTCAAATGCTTTTCAGCGTTGGTTACACGTTACCTTATAATCGATATGGGGTCACTTTTAGCCTCTCACAAGTCCAAAACTTTCCTGGCGATGAGGGGAACTGCCGCCCCCTTCAAACCCCCAAACAGAAGGGGGCACATCCCCCTTCTGGTAACCCCCTGATGTATGTTTTGGTTGGGGGCCGGCCGAAAAAGTGGTCACTTTTTTTAACAACATTTCTCAAACAAAAACAAGTGTCGGGGGCCTAAATAAGGCATTTTTTTCACCATTTGAGACAACACAAATGGGGGGGTGAAAAAGGCGTTAAAAGGCGTGTATATCGCGTAATCGGTTAACGTTCATATAGAGCTAAATTATGCTGAAATCCGGCTCAGTTTATATATCAGGCTTTGTGTTGGTTGATATTTTGCTTAGATTATGTTCATCACCTTTCATAAATGAGAACAACTTATTCGTTGAATTCTCCTGAAGACAAGCTTCTTGTTATGTTTCAGATGAATGATGTACAATTAAATGTAAAAAAAATGATGCAAAGTTACGAGATCGGGAATTATGGTCAGAAAGAACGAACATTTATTCTTACATAAGAAACAACACCATAGGGAACGTGTTACAGTATCGCGTTTTCCGGTTACAGTATAGAATTTAAAAAATGGAGGATTATTTGTGGGAAGACAGGTAGGTGATTTTTATTCCGGTCCATACTTCAAGTAGTTTAGTTTCTAAAAGATATTTTGTGCTTTGTTTGTAAGGAACAGAATCCGGTATCTAGCCATATATTCATTCAGACCCTGCACAGCAGATTTATCTCTATATTGTCTCATAAATATGCAGATTTGACGGTTTGAAAATTGGAATCGAGAGAACAACACACTTTTCTCTCGTTCCGACATTATTTTTGCATGCCTGGAAAAAGAAAATCTGCAAAACGTTAGCCTTTTATGTTAGGAAACGTTTATAAAAGTAAATGACCTGTTGAACCTATTTTCTTGTTCGTTACATGAGTTGTAAAAAAAACAATGTTACAGCGAGGTGATTTGTGCAGGGTTACAGCATAGATCTAGCGATTTAGGCTAAAACACCTTTTAGAAACTAAACTACTTGTAGTATGAACCTGAATAAAAATCACCTACCTCTCTTCCCATAAATAATCCTCCATCTTGAAAATTCTATACTGTAACCGAAAAAAAGTACTAGCTTCATCTAAACTATTATCAGTTGATTATTGCTTTGCTAACTAAATCGTTACTTATCAATATGAAATAGATAACTTAATTTCTTAGAATATGTGTTAAAGCTGGAATACTATTTAAGACGGTTCTAGGAGCGTTAGGTATGTTGCACTTGTCCATTATTCCTCATGAACAAACTCAGTCAAACTGCGTCTGCATTTTTCATGTAATTTTGTTGTTTCATTCCGATGGATATTTCCGGTACAGTTTAGCAGGGGTTACGCTTGACTTTTTCTTATTTCTTAAGTCATATACATCAAAGGAAGAGTATTGTAGTAAAAACTTCTCAAACATTTTTTTTTGTATCAAATTCATTTATTTCTTTTCTGACCATGAAGATCAAGGTCAATCAAAGGTCAAACTAGAATAATTCGGTTTTGCCATGTGTTCTTTATTCGAAGTATGAATATAATATGTTAGTATATAACAAAGTTAGGACTATCGATAGCTTGACCTTGACATTCAAGGCCAAGTCAAGGCAATGGTCATATTATTGTTCCTACAGCGATATATACAGGAATTGTATTGGATCCTGCAGACAAATACAGAAATATTTGTGATCCGGCAGTCAGATATAGGAATCGTATTTGAACCTGATTCGATAAATACAGGAAATATATCATGCAGGCAGATACAGGAAACAAAATTTATCCTGCGGCGTTAAATTTATGTGATCCTGCAGCCTTAACTTAAGGAATTATATTAACCCTTGCAGTCAGATACAGGAAATGTGTGTCATCCTGCAATGTTAAGTACAGGAATAACATTTGACCCAGCAGTAAGAAACTGGAAATGTGTTTGATCATGCAACGTAACTACAGAAAATATATTGGATCATGCAGTCAGATACAGGAAATATAGGCAATCTTCCAGCGTTCAATACAGAAATTATATTTGATCTTTCAGTCAGATACGTACTAGAAATGCATGTGAACATGCAGTCAGATACAAGAAGGTATTGGATCCTACTGCGAAAAATATACACGAAATATATTGGATCCTGCAGTCAGGTACAGAAAATATAAGTGTTCCTACAGTGATAAAAACAAGAATTGTTTTGATCCTGCAGACAAATACAGACACTATTTGTGATCCGGCAGTCAGGGCCTGCTGCGATAAATACAGGAAATATATCCTACAGACAGATACAGAAAACAAAATTTATCCTGCAACGTTAAATTTATGTGATCCTGCAACCTTATAATAATACTGACCCCTGAAGTCATCCTGCAATGTTAACTACAGGAATAATATTTGACCCTGCAGTAAGAAACTGAAAATGTATGTGATCATGCAATGGAACTACAGAACATATATTGGATCCTGCAGTCAGATACAGGAAATACAGGCAATCTTCCAGCGTTCAATACAGAAAATAAATTTGATCTTGCAGTCAGATACTACAAATGCATGTGAACCTGCTGTCAGATACAGGAAAGGTATTGGGTCCTACTGCGAAAAATATACAGGAAATATATTGGATA